GCAGCGCGACGATCCGCGCCGGGGCAAATAAGGTTTATAGCAGACTCCGGGATATTGACGATTATGAAGACGGCTCAAAATAAGAATGAGAAGCAAAGGGGCCCCGCACCGCACTCCGCATGCTCCGCAGCGGGAGGTGAGGTTATGTGCGCCGATTTTTATGCCCACTTTGAATGGGGCGCCATTGAGCGCGGCAACCGCTTTAGCCTGTTGTGCGAAGCTCGGCTGCGCGGCTTCGCTTCATTTGCCAATCAGTCGAGCTGAGTTGAGCCGAGATCAAACCGACCGTACGGACGGACGGACGGACGGACGGACGGACGGACGGACGGACAGGGACGGGCAGCCCGGCTGGCTGGACTCATCCTGATCCTGGAGCAACAGCGCACCGAGACCCGCGCATCTCCACGGCCCGCTCGCCCGAGTTACGACCAGGAGTCGTACAGCGGAAGTCACCGGCTTTCATAGGCTTTTGTCATTGACCTCAGGCCGGGGTTCATCTTATCCCACTCAAAGAACGATCAGCTGCTGCTGATGCACTCGGAAGTGTGGGTGGGAAGACTCGATCCCCAGAACGTGTCACGGGCTAATATTTCATTCATACGGGTTCGTCTCGTCGCTGCACGGCGCGCGGCGCGCCTATGGCCCCGTGCGAGTAGGCAACCCGCCCGCACGCCTGCAATGCGGTACAGTATATCCACAGCTTATTTTGTTTGACTTTGCGGACAGAAGACTCAGACTCAGCCACAACGCGATGGTCGGTGTGTTTGCAGCCGTGCGCGGGCCGGGCGCGCGAGGGGCTCCTTGCCGCAGATAGTGGCGGACGACGCGGACGGCCCGGCTGTGCGCCCGGCGCCGGCCCGGCCCCGGCAGCCTTTCGGTGGGTCAAGGCCAGTCAGATCCGACCATGGTCTGACCGACACGACCACAGAACGTTCGGTCAGAGAACGACACTTCCGCCAACATTATATACACGAAAATGATTAAACCATAGCCGAGCCGAGTTTGGCGAGCCGAACCGGCCGACTGACCGGCGCTGACCGGCCCGGGCGCCACTAGCTGAGCCAAGCCAGCGACCAGCGGCGGCGCCTTACCGGGAAACAGAGAGGCCGACTCACAAGTTTCCTCGACTTAATTACCTATACATCTGTAAGCCCGTCTGCTTCGGTGACGGGCGGCAGAGAAAGAGAGGGAGAGAGAGTGGAGTGACGGACAACGGGAAACCGACCCTAATTGTGTGGGGCAACTTGATTATTTATTTTTGTCACTAATGAGGGGCTTGGTTTCTATCTATCTACACACGGATCAAGTGATTGGCAATCGAACTTTGCGCATTTCTAAGAAGCATGTAGTATGTAGCACTGCATCGCAAAAGACGAGAACTACCAGAGCCCTTGCTACAGCTACACTGCTATTCGAAAAGAGAATGCATAACCTGTCTTACCGCAGTGGTGAAAAAAAGTAAGTTTTTTTATACCTTACCATTGATTTGCAATATAAACTATTGTCATCTAAAAATCAATGTACATAACACAAACTGTCTGTATACACACATGGGGTGACAGTCTCGGTGACAGTGCTCCGGGTGCAGTACTCATGGGCCTTAACGACATCCTCTCTCATTCTTTCTCTTTATTTTCTCTCGCTCCCCCATATCCCCCCCCCCCTCATTTCTCTCTCTCTCTCCCTCCCTTTCGCCCGCACTCAGAAGCCCCTGGGCGTGTGCGCGGCCCGTGCCCGGCACGACTAGCAGCACCACGTCAAACAGGTGCGGGCCCAAGAATGTCGGAGAGAGAAAACGAACGGCGCCCCTGGACGGCGCCCCTGGAGGGAACGGCCTCGCCTCGCCCCCATGACAGCCGTGCAAATCGGACTCGCTAGTTTTGTGCCTCCACTTGAACGGGCCTCGGACATGGCCGGTGCGGCCTCGTCACTCACCTGTTATGGTCTCGGCAGCCAGGGCGGTGAGCAGCAGCAGGAGGAGGCCTAGGCCGGGCATCAGGCGGGCCATCATGTCGGCGTGTCCGGGCCGAGGCCCTGACCGGGGCCGCGCCGGGGGCAGAGGCCCGGGCCGGGCCGGCCCCGCCGCGGGGGAGTCAAGTTCACTGCACTGCACGCCTCACTTGCTTCACTTAACTCATCGGGACTCATGCCCTCCGGGCCGAGGACGTGGCGGAGGTCATTGCAAGACCAAAACAAGTCGAACAGCAAGGGCGGCCTCCGTGGACCTCAATGCAAATCAGTGGCCGTGGCTAATCCTGTTTCTGATGATGAAAGTTATGCGTAGGACGGTGGTTGTCATATATCGAAGTCGACAGCTTTAGGTCAAAACGGGCGCAAAACCAACCGTGTGCAGTGAGCGAGGGCAGGCTCCGGCTCACTCGCCGGGACTGGAGCTAAACTCCACTTGAGCTGAATGTGGTTCTTATGTCGGAAAAAGGTTAAGTACTACTCATCGCCAATCTGCTAAAATCTCATTTTCTTTGCCTCTCTATTTCTCATTTCCTTTTATAGTGTCTGACTCGACGAACAAGAAGAAGAAAAGTATCCACGTAATTTCGATTCGATCAACCGGCAGTCGTATGACGCCAGTCAGAGTAAACAACCTCTCTCCTCTCCTACCCTCCCCTCTCCCCACCGCTCCCTCTGCCCGCTGCTCTCCTGTAGACCCCCCACGAAGAGGCCCGTCCTCCCTGCAATGTATGTAATCTCAAGGCAGTCCAGGCCAACCTTCGACAGGAATGCTGCCTTGGCGAATCATTTGGTTTGGGTGAGAAAATCGTAAAATCTGAAAAACAAACAGAGCCCCGTCGCTGCGGGGATTTGAACCCCACTCTCCGTGTGTGTGGCAACACTTTTCGGCTTAGGAGGTAATTATCTCTGACTAATTTGGTCGACCACACAGGCAACACATTTGCCGCGTGTCTCCTCTACACTGTCATAATTATGTCCGCACGATAAATAATAAAAATCATATTCGGTCAAAAAGGGAATAAAAACTGATGAACATGGGGCGGAATGCACCGCGGGTCGCATGGCGATGATGAAAGAGACGCCGCTCCGCTCCGCAGCGCGACGATCCGCGCCGGGGCAAATAAGGTTTATAGCAGACTCCGGGATATTGACGATTATGAAGACGGCTCAAAATAAGAATGAGAAGCAAAGGGGCCCCGCACCGCACTCCGCATGCTCCGCAGCGGGAGGTGAGGTTATGTGCGCCGATTTTTATGCCCACTTTGAATGGGGCGCCATTGAGCGCGGCAACCGCTTTAGCCTGTTGTGCGAAGCTCGGCTGCGCGGCTTCGCTTCATTTGCCAATCAGTCGAGCTGAGTTGAGCCGAGATCAAACCGACCGTACGGACGGACGGACGGACGGACGGACGGACGGACGGACGGACAGGGACGGGCAGCCCGGCTGGCTGGACTCATCCTGATCCTGGAGCAACAGCGCACCGAGACCCGCGCATCTCCACGGCCCGCTCGCCCGAGTTACGACCAGGAGTCGTACAGCGGAAGTCACCGGCTTTCATAGGCTTTTGTCATTGACCTCAGGCCGGGGTTCATCTTATCCCACTCAAAGAACGATCAGCTGCTGCTGATGCACTCGGAAGTGTGGGTGGGAAGACTCGATCCCCAGAACGTGTCACGGGCTAATATTTCATTCATACGGGTTCGTCTCGTCGCTGCACGGCGCGCGGCGCGCCTATGGCCCCGTGCGAGTAGGCAACCCGCCCGCACGCCTGCAATGCGGTACAGTATATCCACAGCTTATTTTGTTTGACTTTGCGGACAGAAGACTCAGACTCAGCCACAACGCGATGGTCGGTGTGTTTGCAGCCGTGCGCGGGCCGGGCGCGCGAGGGGCTCCTTGCCGCAGATAGTGGCGGACGACGCGGACGGCCCGGCTGTGCGCCCGGCGCCGGCCCGGCCCCGGCAGCCTTTCGGTGGGTCAAGGCCAGTCAGATCCGACCATGGTCTGACCGACACGACCACAGAACGTTCGGTCAGAGAACGACACTTCCGCCAACATTATATACACGAAAATGATTAAACCATAGCCGAGCCGAGTTTGGCGAGCCGAACCGGCCGACTGACCGGCGCTGACCGGCCCGGGCGCCACTAGCTGAGCCAAGCCAGCGACCAGCGGCGGCGCCTTACCGGGAAACAGAGAGGCCGACTCACAAGTTTCCTCGACTTAATTACCTATACATCTGTAAGCCCGTCTGCTTCGGTGACGGGCGGCAGAGAAAGAGAGGGAGAGAGAGTGGAGTGACGGACAACGGGAAACCGACCCTAATTGTGTGGGGCAACTTGATTATTTATTTTTGTCACTAATGAGGGGCTTGGTTTCTATCTATCTACACACGGATCAAGTGATTGGCAATCGAACTTTGCGCATTTCTAAGAAGCATGTAGTATGTAGCACTGCATCGCAAAAGACGAGAACTACCAGAGCCCTTGCTACAGCTACACTGCTATTCGAAAAGAGAATGCATAACCTGTCTTACCGCAGTGGTGAAAAAAAGTAAGTTTTTTTATACCTTACCATTGATTTGCAATATAAACTATTGTCATCTAAAAATCAATGTACATAACACAAACTGTCTGTATACACACATGGGGTGACAGTCTCGGTGACAGTGCTCCGGGTGCAGTACTCATGGGCCTTAACGACATCCTCTCTCATTCTTTCTCTTTATTTTCTCTCGCTCCCCCATATCCCCCCCCCCCCTCATTTCTCTCTCTCTCTCCCTCCCTTTCGCCCGCACTCAGAAGCCCCTGGGCGTGTGCGCGGCCCGTGCCCGGCACGACTAGCAGCACCACGTCAAACAGGTGCGGGCCCAAGAATGTCGGAGAGAGAAAACGAACGGCGCCCCTGGACGGCGCCCCTGGAGGGAACGGCCTCGCCTCGCCCCCATGACAGCCGTGCAAATCGGACTCGCTAGTTTTGTGCCTCCACTTGAACGGGCCTCGGACATGGCCGGTGCGGCCTCGTCACTCACCTGTTATGGTCTCGGCAGCCAGGGCGGTGAGCAGCAGCAGGAGGAGGCCTAGGCCGGGCATCAGGCGGGCCATCATGTCGGCGTGTCCGGGCCGAGGCCCTGACCGGGGCCGCGCCGGGGGCAGAGGCCCGGGCCGGGCCGGCCCCGCCGCGGGGGAGTCAAGTTCACTGCACTGCACGCCTCACTTGCTTCACTTAACTCATCGGGACTCATGCCCTCCGGGCCGAGGACGTGGCGGAGGTCGTTGTCGTAGCGGCCGTGGCCGAGGCCGCGGCTGTCGGCGTGGGGTAATCCTTTCGGGGCTCCTTGGTGGAGGTTGCGGGCGCGCGGCGCGGGGCACGGTCACGCACTCGTTGGCGGGGCACCGGTCGAGCCAGCCGGACCGTGGTCGGGCCCGAGACCGAGCAGGACGAGGGTCTGCACGACGTGCCGCAGAGCGCGCTCGGTGCGGCGCGACGCAGCGGAGAGCGAGCGGAGCGGATCTGTGCGGAGCAGCAGCAGCGGAGCAGCGGCCCGCAAGGCAACAAGAGGGAGACTGGCGCCAGCAGGCCGGCCGGGCCACACAGCCGCGCCGCGCCGGCCAGGCCGCCGGGCCTACAGCTACGGCCGGCCCCCGGCCCGGGCCAGGCCGACCCGGACCTCCGCCCCTACCCGCCCCGCCACCCGCCCCGCCACGGTGGACCACCGCGCCTCCCGCCACGCCCCGTCCCGCCCCGCCACCACCACGCCCCCACAAGGGGGTGCGATATCTTACCCAGAAAATGACTTTTGGCAACTATCTGCACTTCCCCACTACCCCGTTCGTCGCACAATTTTAGGTCACAATGGACTCTCAGGCTATCGTGCACGTGCAAGTCGAGGTGTTGAGGCGGCCAGGGAGGAGTTGGTGGCGCTGGAGCGTGCTCCCGGGTGACACTCGGGTGGCGGCTTGGCGGCTGCTGGGGCTGGTCTGGACCTCCCGGAGGGGACCATCCCCATCCCTATGAACTCACTTTTCATTTTCCCCATTTGATGAAGCGCCGCCCCGCCCCGCTGGGCGCCACTATCTTCCCTTCCCTCCTCCCTCCTCACCCTCCCAAGTGCAGCGCCAGTGCACCGCTCTTGGTCCTTGTCTAATCGCCCGCATTCTTTGCCTTTGCAGTGACTCAGGGACCTCCCCGAACACATCAGGTTTATCGCAACAACAACAAGAGGCGTCCTCGGAGGCGCATTCATGAACGAGGTGAAATGCACCCGGGACTTGTTTTATTGGCCGACGGCGGCGGCTGTCAGCGGCGCGATGCCGCAGCGGCAGGAGGGCAGGGCTGTCGGCAGAGTGCCGCAAAACAGGCAAATTAGGCCGATCGCCGAGGCCGCACAGCGGCCTGTGCACGCCTGCTCAGGCCGCGGGTCGGCCTCGGCGATCGGCCTAATTTGCCTGTTTTGCGGCACTCTGGCTGTCGGCCGTGCCGGAGGGTTTTAGGGTTTCTCTCTCTCATGATTTCGCCTTCCTGGAATGTTGATATCCTCGCTGATAGGTTTGACCTTTTCGGAAAGTCGTCGTCAGCGGCGGCGGCGGCGTCAGCGCTGCGGCGTCCTGGATGTGCGGCCTATGGCTGCCCGGGCCGCCCACACATGGAGGGCCCCCGCTGCTCCTGCGCTGCCCTGTGCGGGGGCGGCGGCGGGCTGGCGGGCAGGGCCCCCGGCCCCGGCCCCGGCCCTCGGCGGTGGTGATTTGGCAAGATCTGCCGGTCTCGTCGCACTGTAGTGCCCGGTCTACATTTTCGGAAACGGCAAATTTGTGTCAAGCGATGCCACTTGGCAGGGGGGTACTTATGGGCAAAATAAAGGATTTGACCCGCAGAGGCAAAAAAAATTTCCCTTAGGGAAGATTTTATAAGCCTCCAAATTTCCCATGGCGCCTTACGGGAGGTCCGGGTAGGCAACCCGCAACACAGATCGCCCGTTTTCTCCCGTTTTCGCTCTTCCTCTGCCGATTTGACCGACTTCTAGACCGAATTTTCGGGATTTTTCTTTTGCATCGTGTTCGTGATGAGTTTGCCATCATTTTGAGCTATCTACGACCTCGGAAAGTTACCCCCAGCGCCCGGGAAAGTGGTCAGAAGTGGAACATTAGGTCCTAAAGTGTTCAATATGTTCAAGGGACCTGAACACCCTACAAACCAACAAAATGTAACGTGCCGACTATCGTTTCCCGTAGTAAAAAGTATAAGGAACACGCTCAGACAAAAAAAAGCAACTTTTTACGCGAGAAGTGCCCTAAATTGGAGGTTTTGAACCAACCTGCGCTGCCCGGACCGGGCGGGCTCTGCTCTGGCACAGGGCACAGCCGCAGCTTACGTGATGGGGCCACGGGGGGTGTCCGGAGCTGGCTCGGGCTGGCTGCAGCGGTGGCTGGGTGTGTGGCCACGGTGTCGGACGTAGGGGTGGCCACGGGGTGGCCACAGGTTGGCCATAGGTGTGCCCACGGTAGGGTGTTTCAAAAAAAATAAATTTTGCTGGGTACCCTCT